ATGGCCTCGTTCAGAGCTTCTAGGTCTAGGGAAGGGGTTGGCAGGTGTGGGATGCAGTGATAGTAGTTCCGGTCAGTCCTTAGTCTCTTTAGAGGTTCCACTCTGCAACGCTGCTTGATTAGTCCTTTAAACTTCAGTAATATGCTGAATGTTGCTCCCTCTACCTTGGTTGTGTGATGTGCCTCCCAGAGCTTTGGATTGTTAGGGAACTATTTCGTCTAGTGTGCTTTTAGAAATGCAAGATTGAGACTATTATCACTAGATGGTAGTGGATGCAAAGACATTGGTCTAATTCATTCTCAAAATTTTCCAGAGAAATTGGGTAGCCTAAGTGAAGCCAATGTTCTGAGGTCAAGTTTGCGGTGCCCATAACGGACAAGGGCGTCTTATCTATTGGTTTTCTCTGGATTCTGGACATACCATCCTGATTGGTCAAAGTTGTGATTGTAGATTTAGTAGGAATGTGGGAGTATGCTGGCCTTGGCAGGATCCACAATGAAATGGATCTCACCAGTATTGACCACTGAGGTTGGCTTTACATGGCATATTTCTCTCATAATCTGGAGTAGAGATTGGTGTAGCTTGTAGTAAATCAGTTAGCCTGGCTCAAGAATCGCTGGGCCTAGTCTAGTCTTTTTAGCATAAGGTTGCTACAGAGTTTTCTTTCCTATAAATGAGTAAATTAGTAGATGACCACAAATTTGTTGGCTTCTCGTCTGTGTTTTTCCTAATAACCATGACTGGTTGCATTGACACCCTAGTACTTTGAAGGTACAAGAGGGGGGGGGGGGTTGAATTGTTGACTATTTAAAATTTAGTCGAGTAACATAAGTGTTAGTTGACTGACCACAACACAGAATGAAAGTAAGCAGTAAAGAAAAGTAAATAACACACAGCGATTTATACTGGTTCTGTACCGTTGTGGTACTTACATCCAGTTTCCCTTGGGTCACAAGGGTTCCCTTAAGATCTTTGAATAAGTTACAATACAGATGGTTTTAACACGTTCACCACCAACGAACAGTATCAACACTTGAGTTCAGAATAGTTGACACAACTCTCTTTTGTGTTCTAGATCTCCCTATCTTTTGAGACACTGATAACTAAGGATTACAGTGTTTGAACTAAGAAGTAGATAGACTTATAATACAATATGTGCAGCTGCGCAATCTTCTTCTTGAATGACCAGCCTTCTTATAGGAGAGAAAAGAGCCGTTGAGTCTTCAGCGAAATCAGAGGCACAAGATCTTTGATTAAGGGATTTGACCCAAGGGGTGCCTCTTCGAATCTTGCTCTTTGTAGAGCGCAGATTCGATTGTGACCTTCCTTGTCACAGCTTGATTTAAGGAGTCGTTTATGCTTGGAGTAGCTTAATTCACGAGCGCGATCTTCTTAATTAGAGAATCCATGATTGGCAATCTGAGTTCCCTTGATTGAGGACGAGTCAATCTGCTTCTTTTGATTGCCCATTAATGTAGTAACAGCATCTTCATTCTTTCCTTACTTGCTATTTCGAATCCAATAGCAATCTTGCTGAGCATCTCCATTCTTTCCTTTTTGTTTGTTTTGTAAATATAACATAAGATAATATTGTCATCATTGAAACTTAAACTTAAACCTATCATACTTCACATTGGCAGAAGTCCACTTTGGGTCTTGATGTGGAATTTTTGGCACTGGTTGCCATTGTATTTAGCATGATATTGCCGCATAATCATTTACCTATCCTCTATCTATAGAAGAAAATTTTGGTCTGAATTGAATGCTGGGTGTTTTCTGTAGTATATCCTGTCATTCTGATACTCAATATCCCAATATATTACCAATGGACTTTATTATATTAACCATGGTAGAAGAAGTCATGCAAAACATCAGCTACTTGATGTTGTTAGGCAAGATCTACCAACCAAATAGAGCAACTGACCATACTTCTTTTACTGACAACATACTTTTACGTGATGAATGTAATGATTCTTATTTATAAGTTATACTATTTGTTATTTTTTTCATCTCTAAGGTTATCCTTTAGTCTTAGTGGTTCGGTTCCATTTTACCATCACGAAGTTTGGATAATTTTTCATTTGTTGTTATCAGTTTTATATAAGGGCACCCAGCAAAACTGGTCCTTATTCCTATCATGTTCAATCTCAGTGAGTATTGAACTTGCTAGGTTATATGGAATTTAAATGAAATTGGTTGCTTTCTAATGGCTACCCTTGAAGTGACCACCTTGAACCATCATATTCAATCTATTGCTATCTTGTTCCTATCTCAGTGAGTATTGAACTCTCTAGGCTATTTCGCATATAAATGAAGTTAGTCATTTTCCAATGGCTATTCCCTTGACGAGAGCACCTTGACCATTATAACAAGCTTTGCTAATCGCTATTTGTAGTTCTTACTGGTATTATTCCTGGTTTCTGGATTATGTTGTCTTTTTGCAACTAACTATAAACTGGATGGCTTACACACGATTATATTACGTGAGTTGTGATATTTATGCTTATATATGTATCTAAGATGGCCTTTAAGTTTTCTACAGTCATTCCACTGCAGTCATGGGAAGGCTTACCTCTTTGATAGCGTGTAAGTGCTCTTGTCTTGTGATGCTCAAAATTACCTGTAATTTCATATGGACCCGCCGGTAACCTTTTTCAATTGATTGAAGCACTAGCAATATAGTCCACTTGCGGTCACAGCGCTCTTTGCATTTTCTGGAGATGAAATAGTTTAGCGTGTTGAGTTATGTATCACATGAAAATCAGTTTCATATTTCTCAGATGCTACTTTGGGGATGGGCTTATATAGTAGACACCATCATCATCACATCCAATGCGTCATGCTTTGAACTTCCAATGGTATGTATTATGTCTTGCTCCTCTTTTGCGCATTGCAGTGTGAATGTCACAGTTGGAGAGAAAGAAGACCGGATGATGATGACAGGAATGCACACTGTAGTGGACATATTCTGTGTAGGATGTGGCTCTATTGTGGGGTGGAAATATGTGAGTTTCCTGTTCATCAAAGATCTGGTTTTTAACTCTTTGTCTCATCTCTAGTTACCCTGATATTCGTACTGACAACTCTTAAATAATTCCAGGAAGCCGCACATGACAAGAACCAAAAGTACAAGGAAGGGAAATTCATTCTTGAGAGGTATATATTTAGTGTTAGTATGGCGTTTTTTCGTTTCAAGAGTCTCATTTCTATATATATTTCTTTTTGGGTCTTGCTAAATAGGTTTAAGATGGAGAATCCAGATGGAACCCTCTACACAATAAGCCAAGATTCTCAGCTTGGAAGTGATGCAGATGAACCTTGAGTGGCCATTCTACCATGCCATTAATAATCAAATCTCTCTTTTCAACTGTACATTATTTCTAACTTCCTGCGCTTGTTGGTACAAGCAATCTTGATCTTCAGTTAGTATAGATGCTAATAGCCATTATAGCCAAGTTTTGCAGGATATTTTTTGAACAGGGTCGGGTCGGATCGGATTGGATATAGGCGGGTCAAACCCGGGTAATGCAAAAAAATGGATGAATTATCCGACTTGACCCATATTTAATACGGATAAAAAACAGGTTAACTGGCGGATTTACTCATATTATCCATTGCTTTTTGAATATGATCACTTCGGGAAAATTCATAGTCTCCCAAGCTTGAGGAATCCCCAATTAAAGTCTTTATAAATATAAAGTTAAACTCATTAGTTATCCATTTTCTAAGTGGATAATATGGTTCTTATCCATATTTGACCCGTTTTTAAAAAGTTCATTACTCATTTTTAATAAATAATACGGGTGGATAATTATTTTTTAAATAAGTGGTCTTTAAGTGCATCCCGATATCTCCTGTTAAAGAGTTCTTATTCCATTATTGTCATTCTGCCAGTAATGGAATGTCATAAAATAGCCAAAATTGTATAGGAAAGGAAGTCGGGAATTTAATGGAGTAAGATTACATTACAGATGCGTTTGATACCATGAAAAATATATGATTCATAACAGTCGCAGGAACAAATACACTATGCGAACATATACGTATAATAGACTAGTCTATCATTGAATTTAGATATAAAAGATAAATACAAAAAAACTATGGTTAAATCAACTGCTGTGATTATGTGATTTGCAGGTCGAATTATGACGTCCTCTTGACGATTGGTTGTGTCGTAGGACAAATCGTCTTTATTCAATGGTGCACAAAATGACCTAACACTACTACAAAAACAACAAATTTGCGACCGTAAAATCAGTCACAAATTAGTCGAAAATAGTATTTTTTTTCTACCGATTTGTGACTGAAAAGTGTCCGTCGGAAAACACGAAAATTTCCGTTGCAAATTGAAATTAAGCCATTTCAGACCGAATCAGTCGCAAATTTAGCGACTGATTCAGTCGTTGACCAGAGTTTAAAAAATAAATATAAGTAAAAAGTTTCGTTTGATTCCGACGAAAAATTAAAAATAAAATTAATTTTTAATTAATTATTTCGACTAAAACAGTCGTAAATATTAATTATTAATTAATTAAAAATATCAGAAATTCTTCATTCGCGACTGATTCAGTCGCAAATCTTAATTAAGTTTTTCAATTTGCGACTGAATCAATCGTAAATCTGGGTCAGTCGCAAATCTGGGCATTTTTAAGCAGAATCCTCCTGTATTTCTAATTACACCACTGCCAAATAAAACAGCCAACCAAACACCTAACAATTAACCAAAACCCTAATATAATAATCCAAAATCCAATATTTACTACAAAATGAACAGTAATATTTATAACAATTCAACCAACTATCAAACACCATAAATTAAACATGTCTCTAACTTCAACTTTAAAACATTCAAATAGCCTATTCAGAATTAGTCTCCTCCTCAGACTCAAACTCAGACTCAGACTCCATTGCAGCTTCTTTCTTGTTTTTCTTTTTTAACAATTTTGGATCAAAGCCTGAGTTTCTTGGGAAACTGATGCCCCAGTGAATAATGTTGCTGGTGGACGACTGGAGGATGGCTGTACTCCAATCCCGTTGACTCGACCTTTAATTATTATTTTCACGAGAAATAAAGAAAAGAAAGTAAAAGAAATAAGAAAACAAACAAGCAACTTTCAAATTAATACCAAGATAGATAATTACGTAATATTTATACCTTTATTCACGCCACCAGACGCTTGTGTCCATCTGCGTAATGAATATAAAATAGAAAATTTTTTAGAAACCACTATGTTTTAGTGATTATTAGCTTGCTATAGCTACCATTAACTAAATTATTTCCTATAGCTATGTTTTTAGTTGTTATTAGACTGTATTCGATGTATTTTTGTTATTGTATTCATGAATACAATAGCAAAACTCGGTGGAAAACATGGGAGTCCAGCTAAGCAGAGAATGTATTCGACTATATTCACTCTGTATTTGTGAATACAGTAACGGAATTTGCGGAAAAAAAGGTCTTCAGCTGTTTAAAAACGGTAAGTGAATTAATTAACGCGATAGACTCCTAATATAACTCAACAAACTCAATTATAACAAACAAAATTTGAATTTTCAGTTATAGAAAAGATTCTCAACCGAAAAACACCCCAAAAATAGATCAATCTTCAGAGATTCAATCCATCCTTTCTTTTTTTAGTGGTATCTTTACTAAAATAGTTTTTAGTGGTATATGTCACACCTCCTTTTTACACCCCTACCCCGAAGGATAAATGTATAAGGGAGTTTTTCCATTTAAAGTGACATTATTCGAAATGGAATTATTTATTTATTTTATAGAGTCGCCACTTGGGAAAGGATTGGCTTTTGGTGTCCCAAGTCACCAATTTTAAATCCCAAATCGAGGAAAATTTCGACTTCCCAATTGGAGTCTGCGAACCAGAAATTCTGAATAAGGAATTCTGTTGACCCGAGGGAAGGTGTTAGGCACCCCCGGATCCCGTGGTTCTAGCACGGTCGCTTAAATTATTATAAATGGCTAAACATCTGGTTTTTATACACATTCCCATCTATAATGCTATTTTTTGAGATTATTTACCGCTTTAATTATTTTTACGAAAGTGAACGCCGTTTAAGAGCGTGTTTTTGGATCACGTCACATGAAATGCACCCGGATCCTCAACACCTCTTATTCAACGTTTTGGGATTTGGATTTGGGTCACATAAATGTGCACCCGTATTTAAGAAGGTAAGATTATTAAAAAGCGCACCTAAAATGGCTAGCGTCTTATTAACTTTGCGAGGGCCATGAAAATTCGCTAAATGGCACGCCTCGAATTCTAAGGATTTTAAAAGAAATAACTAAATGAAGGTCATGCAATTGTCATTTTATTTGGCACGGCACGCCACAAATTATTTAACGAGAAAAGACAAAAATAAACAGATTTCGCCAATTTTACCAAGAATCAAAACACGATATCAACCACTAATTGATGTACCAAAAAAAAGTTTTAAAAAAAAAATTCTCATGAAGCACACATGATACAAACATACGTTGAACTTCAACAAATTTCAACCAACATCCACATGGTCCATTACTGCTAATCCCTTCATTATTCAAACTAACTTTTGCAATTTCCTTGACTAACAAGAAGGTGAAGTAACAAACAGGAAACCAACTAAGTGACCATGATTTTTACAACAAAATATTTAGCCACCATAACAGATTATAGAACTTTAACTCTCCAAGCAAAAATGATAAAGAAGTTAACAACATGAAACTAAGATGAAGTAACAAACATGAAACCAACTAAGTGAACATGATTTCTACAACAAAATATTTAGCGACCATAGCAGATTATAGAACTTTAACTATCCAAGCAAAAATGATAAAGAAGATAATAACGGACCTTTGAAGCCTTTCGATATATTAAGATCTTCCAACTGGCTACAAGAAGTACGCGACACTATGGCTAAACACGAACGGACTGTAAGCCGAAGACTAAGGCGGAAATTTCGAACCGGCGACCGGAAACAAACTCGAACCAGCGCTGAAACACTCAAGTAGGTTTCATGGCTGCTGTTGCTGTGATAGACGAAGAAGAAGGAGTAGTGGCGATGAAGATCTCTTTGTGTGCGTGATTTTCAGGCGTTTTTGGTGCTGATTTTTGGAAGATTTTCTGCTGGATTTTCTTTGCCTTTTAGATCTGTTTTTGGGCTGATTTCCGTTGGGGAATGGGACTGATTTTGGGGTCAGAAAAAGGTTGGCTATAGCTGATGGGTTTCAAGGTGTTTTGTGGTGAATTTTTGTATAAGAATAGTGAAGGAAATGGTTAGCTCTAAGGTTCTTTCATGGCTGTTCTTGGTTGAGATTTTTATCAGGAAGAAGAGAAAGTTGGAGCCTCCTTTTTCCGTTTCTTTTCGTTAGGAAGAAGAAGATGATACTCCTTTCTCGTGCTCCCCCTTTTCTGTTTCCATTCCCCTCTATATATTAGCGTGTGTGTATATTGTAGAAAGAAAAGAAGATAGGAATTGTGGTCCCCACCAAAGGAATATTTTTTCAGTTTTTTTTGGCCAAAGCGTTAGTGGGATTAAAATGGGGGTGCATGTGAGTTTGTTAGGGAGTGGATAATGGAGAATCTTTGCCACACGGCCCAACGTGATTGGCTCTTATTTTTGATTTTCTTTTCTTTCTTTATTTTTGGTTAATAAAATGAAATACTACTCCTACTTTATTAATATAGAAAGATAAAAAAAATGTTGTCTACTCAAAATTATATTATTAAAAATTCTTAACTTGAGAAGGATAGAGTAGACCTGTTAAACATATATCTTTTGAACATTTTTCTTTCTTTCGAGAACAAGAACACAATTACTATGTAAAATTTTGACTATTTTGTATTTTTAAGATTATATATAAAAATAAAATAAGGTACTATTTTTGTATATTTTTTTATTTAAATTTATAAAAGATGCGTAAACTAAAATATTTTTTGTAATTTTTATTTTCTTGTAATAAAATAAAGTAACATAGCAAAAATTAATTGAAATAGTTATATTAGGCCTAAATTAAATATTTACATGCTAAAATATAAAAAATCTTGGGGAGGGTCAAAAATCACATGTCTACAGTATAGTTAAATAATAAAAATACATTGAATACATGAAGTATAGCATGTCATCTATAGTGCAAAAACATATGAATACATACTGCAGATACATTTGAATACATATATACATCTGAATACATAAATTATATTAATTACAAAAACATATGAATACATTCACGGAATACAGCGAGACAGTGAATACAATAAAATACATGAAATACAGCGAGATACATTGAAATAAAATGAAAAAAAAGACAATGAATACAATAAAATGCATGGAATATAGGGAGATACATTGAAATACAACGGAAAAAAAAGGTAACAGACTCTTCAAGGCAAAGCAGCTACTTCTTTTTTTTTCTTTTGCCGTTTTATTTTCGCATTCCTTTACCTTGTCGAAATCTTCT